GTTCATAGGGTTGTACAACCTATAACTCTGAAATTTTTTTTCTGTGCTGTTCCACAGTTTAAATCTCCTCTGCTGTCTGCAACTCAGAAGCAGCAGATATCTGTGATTTAAGCTTCTTTTCCAAGCATGCTCATTCAGTAGATGGTTCCCAGCATTGACCCCACAGGTGTACCTCTCCTGAGACATCCATTAGAGGAAAAGTGTGCGCAGGCTGCAAGGCAGCTGATTTCTGTCCTGCCTCTCTGCCAGATTGCTGTGACTTGGAACCAATTCTTCCCTCAGTTTCCCCATCTGGACAGTGAGGGTATCAGAGGAGGTTCTGTCTAGACTCTTCTCTCCTCTACTGTCTGTGACTGATTGCAAGAGCCCCGAGGCCTCAGTGTCATGCACATCTGTCATCTTTCATCATTGACACGACTCATTGTTTGTCTCCATTATTTCATCCTGTGCTCCAGGACAGGGGCTGTCGCCCCAGGTGGAGATGCTGAGGCTCAGTTTCCAGGAGCCACAGGGATGCCCCTGTGCGTGGCTCTTCCACCCCTGAGTGTCAGGGACAACGTGTGGACTGTCTGTGGTCTCAGTGGGGAAACTGCCTCATAGCACCTCTCACAAGGGACATCAAGTCCTAGCCTGGTCCTCCCTCCCTCCCCAGGATTGGCCTTTTCAGCTCCCTGACTCCATTTCTATTCTGCAAAATAGGTTACTGCTACCAATGCAGGGACTGCTGCAAGGACCAAGTGAGGTCACTGGTGTGGTCAGCAGAGCCTGTGCCTGGCTGGTCCAGGGCCTTTGGTAGATGTGAGTTCTCTTTCTCAGGATTTTTTTTAGCCTTTTCTTAGGGTGTGGCCACTAGCCTGTCATGGCTGACTACAGAGACTTGCAGTCCCTGTTAGGATTGGGGCTGTTGCTCCTGACCGAGGGGAAGATACTCTGGTTCATACCACAGCATCAGCAGGGGACAGTTTGGGGAGCTACCAGAGCTGGCAGGACCCTAAGAGTCATTCCCATCTGTGCACCATGTGTTCTGCCACTGAACCCAGACCAGGCCAGGTCTCTGCCTTCTGGCCCTTCTGCCTCATTTGCTGTTGGTTTTTGTCTCTGATCACAAAACTATCACCTCCTTAATGTGGATGAGGCTAGAAACAGTGAAAAGTTTGTAGAAGAAATGAAAAGCCCCCATGGACCCAGCATAGAGAACAGAGCATCGTCAGACCCCTGGGTCCGCAAAAATCCCCAGGGGCTAGTGTGGGGCCACCCAGAGACTGGGGAGCCTTGAGTCAGACCTGTGCCAGGGGCTGGACCAAGACCCCTCAGCCTCCAGGCAGACCCAGCCCAAGGGGAGGAAGACAGGGCGGCAAGGCTGAGGCCCTGCCCTGGACCCATCGGCTGACTGCTGCTCTGACCATCTGGGGCCTGTAAAGTCCCTCCTCTGCCTCCCTGGAGGACCCTTTTTGGGTCTTAGGCTCCTCTCGGAAGCCTGTGCCGTGCCAGGCCTTGCCACACGGAAGGAGATACAGGGACTCAGCCTGGCAGGGGTGCCCACACGCCCTGCTCGCCCCCCACTGCCATCTTTCCTCTAGTCCATTGCCCACCTGGGCTGGCCCTCAGTCTTCCCAGGGGAGCTGGGCAGACCATCTGCCATGGGCCACACGTTCCCTGGAAAGTCCAGGCATATTGCATAACTGATGTGGGCATCTGAGGGGTGTGGGGTTACAGATGGGGAAACTGAGGCCCAGCTTCCCAGGGCCTCTGTCACTTCCAAGTCTGTGTCACTTCCCACTGTTAGAACCCAGGGAGAGTCATTGGGAAGACACTGATGGAGCCCCTCTTGCTCAGGAGTCCCGGAAATTCACTCCACCCTCCACGTCTACCTCTGTGTCTGGGCCTCAGTGTTGTAGCCTGTGAATGGCCTGCCCGTCACACAGGGGAGGCAAGAGGTCCCCAGCTTGGGCTCTCAGGACAAGGCCCATGGCCTTCAGGACAAGCGGGCAGGGGCATCATCTGCTTCTACCCAGTGACAGGAAGTGGCTTTTCTGAGGTCACCTGCAGGGTTCATGATGGGGGGGGGAACCAGAGTTGTCTTCTGCCCTCAACAGAAATTCAGGTCTCCAACAACCCCGTTCGGTGTTTTTAAACCTCATGCAGCCCTGTGCCCAGATTGACAAGGCTTGGTGGGGATGGTGAGGAAATATGGCAGGAGCTACAACCCCAAAGGCAGAATGATTCTGTGTCACAGATGAGGAAACTGAGACACACGAACTAGTTAAACCCAATGTGTTGAGTGGCCGAGCCAGAAATCTGTTCCTCCAGGTCTGGCCCACCCTGCATGCCTGGCAAGGGTCCCTGCACGGTCCTTACTCTTTGTTTCTGTCTTCCAGGGCCAGCAATTCCACCGTGATGGCCCTGCCTCAAAGACCCCAGGAGGTCCCCGGTACCGCCCTGCTGCTGATGGCGCCCAGAGCTCTCCCAGGAAAGTGACCCTGGCCTCAGTAGGCCCCCAGCACTGGCAGCCCAAGGGCAGCCCGACAGCCCGCATACTGCCCGATCCCCGGAGCCCAAGGCCAACACGAAACACCCGCATCTTGGCTGATAGCAGAGCCACTGAGGAGCGTCCGAGTCCCTTTGGAATCCCATTTTCCAAACTGTCCCAGTCAAAGCACCTAAAAGCCAGGTCGGGGGGCAGCCAGTGGGCCTCGTCTGATTCTAAGCGGAGGGCCCAGGCACCTCGGGACCACAAGGACCCCTAGCAGCCCCGTCCGGGCTGGACCCACCAGAGCCCATGCTTGGAAGGCAGGAAGGCAGAGAGGGTGTGCGTGGCTGGCACTTGCCTGGTCGGTGCACCAGTACCAGGTGGCCATGATGGTCAGGCCGAAGGTCATCCCGGTCCATGGGAGGTCCCCTGTGTAGGGATCCCGGAACATGTGCATGGCATCTGTGCGTGGCAGGTGGCAGGTGGTATTGGCGATGGTCCTGGAGGGGATGGCCTGGGCATACGCTGCCTCCAGCTGCCCATATCCGCCGATCTGGTCGAAAGCTGGAAGGGTTGGGCAGGACAGGGACAGTTTGGTTGGGTGGCCCTGACTCCCCAGCTCCTGCTGCACTTCCTCATCTCACGAATAACATCCTAATGCATCAAACTGGAATTTTTTTTCTACCTTGCCTTTCCTGGCATTTGGGAAGGTGTGGTGGGTAGAGGGTTTCAAAAAAAAAAAAAAAAGGTGAAATTAAATAACTATTTTATTTGTATTTAAGATAATACTATTAAATGAGCATTTTGCACATGGACACCACTGTGTCCACTTGGCCTGGTGGGAATCACTGCTGGTCTCCAGATGCCTGTGGGCCTCCGATAAGGGGTTCTCCACCAGGTTTTGAACTGCCCATTCAAGGAAGCAAAACATTTTTTTCTTGGCACTCAAAAGACTTTCCTGAGGCATCTAAAGTGTTAAATGTCCTGACCCAGGTTCCCAAAGGTTGTGATTTTAGTAGAGCCAAGAATGGTGGCAGTGATGTGGCTCCTCCAAGATCATGCAGCCTGCTGGGCAGGTGGAGCTCAAGCCAGGGGTCTCTCAAGTCCAGAGCAAATCTTTCCCCTCGTTGTTTCTGTCTACCTCGGGGTCAGGACTCCACATGGCCAAGCCCTGGCCTGTCTGTGGTTTGGCTATAGCTGTGGTCACTCCAATCCCATCCAGACTGGGCCTAGCTATCTGGGTCCCCCATGTGCAGTGAGGTTTGTGGATGTCGGGTCCATGGACTAAGAGGAGGAAGCCTGTCTCTGCCCCAAGCCCTGTTCCCCAGCAGATCATGGAAGAGGGAACCTGTTGCCTACACTAGAAGCCGGGCCAGGATCTGTGTTCAGGGGTCTATGCCAGTATCAAAGCAAAGGTACAGATGCTACACAAGGCTTAGAGTTTGCTCAACTGCAGGATCTCAGATTCTGAGTCTGGAAATCTTTAAAGGCTTTCATTCGCCCTCTGTGGGATCCTCCCGGCTCTGCTTGTGTACTTCAGGGACAGGGAGCTCACTACCTCCACCCTACCCCCCAGCCCCTGGCAGCCCTATAAGCTATTCCCAGACCCATGTCATCACTCTGTCTAAATGCTCCTCTCCCCTCCCCTGCCTCTAGCAGTAGGTAGCATCACCTTTCAGGATTCTGTACCTGATCTTAAACAATTGGAGGAGACGCCTGGGCAGTGTTGTGGTCTCCTAATTGCTGCCTCCACACCCTCCGGCAGCCCCACCTTGCTGTCACTCCTGAGCCTGAGCGGCACACGGCAGGCCCTGTGTTCTTGAGTCAGCTCCTGACCCGGCCCACAGCTGGTGACAGCTGGGCAGCGGGGCAGCCAGGAGAGGCCTGCAAGGGATGGTTGCCTAGCAGCGCGACCTCATTGGTCCTGTGGCAGCCCACCCCCCTCTATAGCCATGACCCCCAGCCCTTACCTTTGACCGCCAGGATGACAGCCCCCACCACCATGATGATGGTCTGCAGGGCATCTGTGTAGATCACAGTGGCCAGGCCCCCTGTGGGGAACAAGGTGACAGGAGGTGGGGTCCCTTGGCCTCAAAGGAGGCAACTTCTAGAGCTCCTGTTGGGGCAGCTGTTCCCAGATGTGCCCCCTACCCTTTCAGAGGTGGATGAGCAATAAAGCACCTGGTCCCACTCCATGGGGGGTCTCCCCACGGAGCCCACGGTGCTTCCTGTGTGTCTCCTGGCTCTGCCCAAGCCAGTGGTGGGCAGGCCCTCCCTTTAGGCCCCTGCCCTGACCCGGTCAGAGGAGCCATACCTGCAATGGTGTACAGAGCGGTAATGATAAGCGTGAGGATGGTGGAGAGGTAAAAGTTCCACCCCAGGCAGATGTGCACGAAGAGGGCCCCGGCGTACAGGTCGATCTGAGGAAGAGAGAGGTTTGGGGTAGAAGGTTACCAGGACTCGACGGTCAGAGCCCTGGCGCTGCACTGATGGGCCATGTGACCTGGGAAATGCCCTTTCTGGGCCTGGATGCCCCTTGGATGAGGGAGGGGAGACCCCTGTCCACCCGCCCGCATCCTGGGGCTGTTGTGAGGGTGGGAGGAAGAAGCGGCCTCGGCAGCTGTGAGCCATGTGCAGATGCACCAGGGATGTACTGTCATGAATAAAGTCCAAGGTGGCCAGTGCCCACCAGAAAGCATGGTGTTGTTGAATCTGGTCACTTCCCAACGGATACAAAAGAGCCCTCTCCCCTCACTTCCTAGAGTGACCCTAACAAGGAAGAGTCCCAGAGGAATTCATGGGGAGGCTCATGAAGACTAGTGGGCCTCAGAAAACAGGTGCTGGGGGTGGGGGGGGAAGCAGAGTGGCTTATTGTCCACTCCCTCCCGTGAGGTTGGACCTGAAGCCAGAGTGCTTACAGGCATGTCACAGGCTAGGGCTGGTTACAGGTCTGGGCCTACAGCTGCGCTGTCCCAGACATTGGGCCACATGCGGGTAGGAGTCTCAGTCTGGGGTTAGGCAGCCTCGGTGCCAAAGTCAGTCTTACAGACCGTAATCCCATTGGGACCTGGGGCCAAATAATGGGCTTTACCCTGCCCCACCCCGTTGCCATTTTGTGTTGGCTCCATAAAGGGGGGGATTTCCTGAAATATAGCGTTGGGACCCTGAGAAAACTGGGACAGGACTGTGGGTCAGTGGAGCCCCCCGCTATGTGGAACAAGTTTGCACAAGACTTGGTCCTAGAGCCCATGAGGCATGGACCCTAAGTCCTTTGATCTCCCCCAGAGCCTGGCCCAAGTTGGAGCAGCCAGCACTATCTTGAGCCAGGACCCAGGGACCAGAGCCCCTGGGACAGAGTCCAGGTAGGAACAAGGTGGACTCCAGAGCCCATGTTCCCTACACTGCTTCCTCTGGCTCCTCCTTGCTCCTGGAGAGTACAGCCATTTGGGCTTGTGGCTTTAGCGGTGTGCATAAGTGTGCATGTGAGGGGTGGTTCAGAGAGAGATTGGGGCGGGGGAGGTTGGCCTCCAGCCTGAGCCGAGAAGCCCAGAAATGCTAACTCTAACCCTTCCTTGAAAGACTCTTCAAGTCTTCATCCCATAGAATAAGGAGAAATTGAGACCCCAAGTCAGTAAAGGGACTTCCCAAAGCCAGACCCTGGGGCAGGAGGTCTCTGGAAAGCCCACTGCAGCAGACGGCCTGTCACTGCCCGGCTGCCCTACAGCTGCTGCCGAGGACCCCTCTGGACCCCACATCTCTGGAATGGAGCCCTAGTCTATGCACCTGGTCTCCAGGCCCTGGTCACACCAGACTCACCACCCAGCACTTTTGCTGACTCTGGCCTCAGCTCACTAGCCCCATCTGCCCTGGACTGTCCCAGTCTCTGCCTCTCATTTTCAAAACTCACCATCCCAGACCCACACCTCTGCCCCTGGTGGATAATCTGTTCTCCCTCCCTCCCTTCCTTCCATGGGAGCAGGCTTTGAAGAGCGCTGAGAGGTTGGGGAGGACCTTAGCTGAGTCCTCTCTGTAGGACCCTACATGAAGTAGGTCCCACAAGGGCACAACTCCCTGCAACCCCAAAAAGTCCCCTGGTGAGGACCTGCACACATCTATTCCTGCCCGACTCTCTGTTGCAACCCAAGCCCTCTTTGCTGAGGGTCCAACAAGCTTCTGCCTGGTAGAAGCTAAGACCCACAGGGCCCTGGGTCTGTGTTCCTGGTCTGCTATGTCCCAGCCATACAGTTCTGAGCAGGTCACTTCACCCCCTGAGCCTCAGTGGCCCTCATCTGTAACATGCAGCAGATGTGGAGTGAACAGTCACTTCTGCCAGATGAGCAGGAGCAGTGGCTTCTCCCTCTGCATAGCCCTCCCCAAGGAATGCTCTAGAAAGCTAAGCAACCTCTGAGGGGGCTTCCTCCTCTCTGGCCCAGGGGCAGCTGCAGAGTCTAATTGAACCCCCTGAAGACATGAGTGGAGAGACCAAAATCAAGAGTTTCACCAAAGTCAATCTCACCCACTGTGGCATAACCCTGGGAACCCATCAAAAGGACAACACCAGGCAGCTGCATCCCTGTAGATAGGACACTCTAGGACCTCACTCCACCACCCAGCAGGACCAGAGCCACTGCTCAGACCCCTGAGAAAGCTCCAGGATGACGTCCAGGGTCCCGACTGGCCCACACTCAACCCCACCACCTCCCTGCTCCTTCCCCGAGCAGGATTCCAACATGTCTGCCTGTAGGCTGCTCCCTCTATCTTATTCCCAGAGACTCTGCTGGTCCTCCACATCCCCGGTTGTCCCCAAGGAGACCTTTGCCTACTTGCCACCTTTGATAGATGACAAGTGTTCGTGTCTGTAGGCACAGCCCTGAGCATGTTGGTATTCAGAGCCTCCTCTAATGCTGTGGCCCTCTGGCGGGTGGCTGTGATGGCCAGCTGCACTCCTTAGATGAGGACACTTCGGCCCAGAGAAGTTCATATCTTGCTCAAAGTTCATGAGCAGCGTGGGGCTGATCTGTGGGGCTCCCACAGCTTGGAACCCTAAGCTTCCCAGGTTCTGGGGTCTTCACTCCATTTCCCAGTTGGTGGACACTGTCCCCTACAAGGTGCATCAGCAACCAAAGGCTAGAGACGGCCTGGTGCTTCTGATCCCTTCATCTACTCCCTCTCCCTGTCCCCACCTGGCCACCATGGAGCCCTGCACTGATATTTATGAATTACTGCGTGATTGATTATCCTATTAAGTCTTCCCCTGTGTCCCCTGCCCAGGTCCTTGCTCATTTCTATAGAGACGATCACTATCTCTTGAGGGCTCAGAACAGAAACTTCTGGCCACTGCTGTGGATTCTTTCCCCAAACACTCCTGCACTCTTCCCCACCCACTGTGCTGCCCTTGGAGACCCTCACTACTTCTTCCTGAACTGCTGGTTCTGGAGGAAACTCAGAGGATGCCAGCATCTACAACACACAAGGAATAAAGACCACCTGCCCTGCCCAGCCCCAAGCCCTGTGTACTGTGGGCTACCCACATCTGTCCCATCATGCTCCCTTTTCCCCATGCCTCTTGCACTCCAGCCCCACCAGCAGCTCCCTGACTCCTTGTGTTTGCCAAACTCTTGCCCAGATAATGCAGCAAAGCTTGAATGTCCACCCCAGAGCGCCCCTGTCCCCTCCCCTCACTATCACCTCCTGAGCTGGCTTCTTGGCTCAGATGTTCACTGTTGCTGTGATGGTATTGCTCTGTCCAGGCATCACACCTATCTGGAAAGGGCTCATTGGGCTGGCCTGCTCACCCAGAGTCAGGCACACAGTAGGTGCACCATAGGTAAGCATGCTTCCAGAGACCAGAGGAAACTGCAGGCCAAATCCAGACCCACCTGATTCTACTCTTGGCCACTGCAGCAGAGTTGAGGAGTTGGAACAGAGACCAGATGGCCCCCAAAGCCAAAAATATTTACTATCAGGCTCTTTGTAGAAAAAAAATGAGCCGACCCTGACTTTTGTTAACTTACTCAGTTCCGGGAAGTGTGCCAAGCACCAACAGCCCTGGGGATGCATCAGGGAACAAAGAGAAAAAATGGGGGAGGCGGACAATAGACATTCTAAGCCAATGATTCTGTGTAAGAGTAGGAAGGAGAGAAAAGGTAAGGGAGCTGTCTCCCTGGGGCAGGGGTAAAGAATTTAGAAAGCTTGAGAGAGGTGAGGGAGCCAAGGGCACAGCTGGGGAACAGGGCTCCAGGAAGAGGCCACAGCAAGTGCTAAAGCAGGACTAGGCCTGGCAGGTGGGTGGCAGTGCAAGGAGACCAGAAGGAGAAGAGGAATAGGTGAGGCTGGTGGGGTTTTCAGTCCAAGTGGCACAGGGTATTGTGCCTGCCTTCCCTATTTTCCAGAAGTTAAATGGCCGGCCAGAGCTCACAGTTCCTCTAGATGAGTGTGGTGGTGATTCTCCATACCCTCCCATGACAGGTCCTCCTGGCAGGCAGGTGCCCCTGCCTGAGGGGTGGCTGCAGGCTAGTTCTAGGACCTCTGTCAGGACAGGCTGCACCTGGATGGCTTCTGGATGGGCGAACACATGAGATGTCCCTAAAGCTCAGCCTGGTGTGGTCAGGACCTCTGGGGGCCCGTAGAATGCGTGCCCTTCAAACAGCTTCACTCCAAAGCCAGGAGCAGGGCAGCCCTAGTCCCCTCCCAAACCAAGACCAGCAATTAGCCTTGCTTCAGCTTCGCCCTCTGCCTCATCTAGGCAGCTCCCGCGTTGGCGCCGAAGCCAGGCCTTGATGTGACTGCTCACTCCTCTTTTCATAGCTGGGTCCTTTGAGTCACCCCAACACAAGGTGGAGTCTGGAGTGCCACATCCTGGCTATTTGGGGAGCAGTAATGTAGTGGTCAGGCCCTTGGGCCTGGAGGCAGAGACCCGGGTTCTAACAGGCCTCTGCCTGGTGGCTGTGATCTTGGCCAGGAGTGCAGTGTGGGTCTCAGCGGTCTCATCTGTACATGGGGAGGGAGGGAGGGAGGCCTGGAGACGGTAGTCTCTAAGGAGCTCTTCCCTCTGCTGCTTGGGAAGTTCCACCTTAGCCACTCACTTGAAGCCAGCTCCGTGTGACATCTACTCTGTACTGCATAGATGTCAGCAGGGTAAACAGGGGTGGTGATGGTGAAGCAGCCTTGTGCCCACAGCTCACCTTCCCTCCTTCACTAGACTCCACTAGGGCCCCCCACATGCATCCCCTCTTCTGTCTCTCCCCTGCAACCCATTCTCTGGTTTGCCTCAGTCCCCGATACTCCCTATTACCTCCCTTCCAGTTTCTCTCTCTCTCTCTTTGATTCTGGGCAGGGATTGAACCTAGGGATGCTCAGCCACTGAATCACATCCCCAATCCATTTTCTATTTTTATTTTGAGACAGGGTCTTGCTATGTTGCTTAGGGTGTCACTAAATAACCCAGGCTGGCTTTGAACTTGTGCTCATCCTGCCTAAGCCTCCTGATTCACTGGGATCACAGGCCGCTGGGCCTGGCTCAGCTTTTCTCTTCCCTGTTTTCCTATCTGACCTCTAAAGCATCTGACTGAGAGTGGCTGTCAGAATCTAGGCCTCCTGATCCGGCCACCCCCAGGCACATCCTACACACGGCCTGTCTCCCCATTAGCCATTTTCCTCTGCTCCTCCACCAGCACCTCTTTCTCTGTGGGGGCTCCA